GAAAAATTCTGGCAACGTGAAAAACCAGAACATAGCAACCCCTCTAAGGGATCATGATGTAACTAGCACAGAGAATTCCACCTATAAAGTCATAATGGAAATGACAGAAATGGGATTTAAAATACAGGTGGCAGTGAGATAGGAGAACATGAACTCCAGTCATTTCAGGCTGGGGTACCTTACCTAGGGACACCACTCTGAGGGCACAGTGAAGTAGTGATGGACTCCAGGAGCCAGCAAGTAGGCCTTGAGCTGAGGAAAACTCACACAGAAGGCAAGTTTGCATACAGGTAAGGGCCGTCCAGACAGCCCTTACATGGAGGACTGAGGGTAGGAAAGCCTATCTTGCATTTTTTTTATTCTGGAATGGACTGCTTGCTGAAGCTGCCTTGGAAAGCTTGAACAAGTGAGTGAACTGAAACAGTATCCAGTGTACAGGATTGAATAATGGATGGGGTGGATCTACCATCAGCTTGGCTACTAGCAGGGTGGCATCACTGTGGTTAAGAATGTGCCAGAGGAATAGTCCATAGTGTCCTAGTGCACAGCCACCTCTGGTATGCTTGCTGAAATTGGGCAACCATATTTGGGGTAAGCTGATTATACCCTGCATCCCTAGGAAGTACACTTTATTTTCAGGAAGCATATTTGTCATCCCTCCTGAAGAAACTGGTGAGAGCCTTCAGACCCCAATCCTGTGGAATCGAGTGCTGATGAGGTAACCAGACCCTAACTGAGCACAGTAGGTCAGGAACACAGGACCAAATCTCCTCTGCAATTGGAAAACGGCTTCCAGCCCACATTGAATATACAGCAAGAGCAGCATGTGTTCTCTGTATCCTAACACTACAGCGCAACCTGGTGTCCAGGCAATATATTGCAATGTATATACATATGTGTATCTATATACACACACATATATATACATATACATATTTCTTATATTTTTGCTCTTTTTCCAAATTTTATTCTTAGCATTTTTTATTTTTCTCCCTGTTGTTGTTGGTAGTGGTAGTTGTAGGGTTTTTTGTCATTTGGTTGTATTTTTACTTTTTCATTTGTACTTTCTTCAAAAATAAGGGGTCCTCCATTTTTGTTAAGGATTTTCAGCCCCTTTTATTCTTACTTCCTTTTTCACTTCTCACCTGTTTTCTTTCTTTTGGTAGAGATTTTTCTACTTTTTTCATCTTTCTGACATAAATTTCTCATATAGTAGATAAGCTATCTACTTTTTTCTTTACCTTACATAAATGTATTTTTAATTTCCTTTATTTTTATTTTTTCTTCTTTTCTCTGCATGTTGCAGAGTCATGGCCTTGTTGTGGTTAGGGGGTCATAGCATTGATTGGGGTCAAGGAGGTCACAAGTTTGTAGTAAAAGATGTCCTTCTAGCTTATACCTTGGAAAAGAAGGTATGGGTAGTTCCCTACTGCAACTTACTTCTGATTTTTTTCTTCTATATTTGGCAAAGGTGGGGTCTTGTTTGGCCAAGGCTGCTAAGGAGCTTCTGACTTCAAAGGACCTGACCAGACCCACCCCCTAAAATATATTTTTTCAGGTGTGCCCATAGCACCCTGATGTTCACCACAATTTCTCCTGTCACCCCCTCTTTCTCACTTTCTAGTCCTTTCTCTCCTCTTTACTTCCTCTCCCCTTTCCTTGTTTTTCTTTTCTTTTTTCTTTTTTTTTTTTCCTCTCTTTCTATTTTTCTTTTCCTGCTCCCTTCTCACTCTTTACCCTGATCTTCCTTTTGGCCTTATACCAAAAGGCAATTTCAACAACTAAGCTCTGAGACAAGGTAATTTAAAGCAAAAGAGGTAGTGAGTGGGAAGAGCAGGGGAGGAAGTGAACAAGCAGAATGCACCTATGAGGAAGGAATAACAGAAGAATTCTGGCCACATGAAAAATCAGAATAAACAACCATCCCAAGGGATCGGGACATAGCAACCACAAAGGATTCCACCTAAAAAGAACTAATGGAAATGACATAAAGGAAATGAAATTTAAAATATCGATTGGCAAAAAGAATAAAGGGAATCAAAGAGAAAGTAAAAACATGGAACCAAGAAATGGATGAAAGATATGAAGAATACAAAAAGGATATGGTAGAACTTAAGGAATGGAAGAAATCAATCATGGAACTTAAAGATGCAGTACAAAGTATTAATAACAATTAGACCATGGAGAAGAAAGAATCTCAGAACTAGAAATAAAGATCTTGAACAATGCAAGCAATGAAAATGCAGAAAATAAGAGACAGAAAGCAAAACATTAGCTTAGAGAATTATGGGACTTCATGAAGCATTCAAACATATGAATTATACATATCCATGAAGGGGAAGAATGCCCCAAAGGAATGGAACATACTTACTGGAGGATATCATAAATAAAAATTTCTCAAGTATCACCAAAGATTCTGACACACTCCCTTAAGAGGGATGTCAAACCCTGAACTATGACAACACAAACAGAGCATCTCAAACATTGGAATGAACTTGTCCAAAGTCAAGACAAAACAGAAAATTCTGAAAGCATCCAGGAGTAAGCACCAATTGACCTACAGGGACAGATCTATCAGGATGACAGCAGACTTTTCGGTGGAAGCTTAGCTAACCAGAACTGAATAGTGATCTACTTGTTATAATAGGAAGTGATACTAAATATGCCAACTTGTCACAAAGATGTTATAATCATAAAAATATACTTATTGATTGCCTAATAAGACATGTGACATAGTAAAAATAATGTCCTTAATAGTGACCCTGAGTTATTAAGGCAAATTATATCACTTGCAGGCCCTCATCGTTTTTCAAATATATTATTCTAACAAATTCTATGTGATCTCCCTATTTAGATCTAATCTCCTTCCAAATATTCTCCACAGTAGCTATAGAAAGATTTTCTAAATTATGAATTTGTCACTCTGCTATTTAAAACCCTTCAACGGTCTCCTACCACCTGAAGCATAGAACCTAAGTTCCTTAGTATATTACACAACTACCTTAATGACCTGGCTCTTCAATTTTTCTAATTTCATCTATTATTATATTGTTCTTTGAACTTTTGCTCCAATACCACCAAACTATAGCTTTGTTCCATAGGCTGACTCTTGTTAGGGGCTAATGGAGCTGGTGACTTTAAATTGAGGCCAATGCACACTTACCATTCTGAAAGTCCTAAGGCCCTTGATAATTATGCTAAATTTACTCTTCCTGTGCTCCATAAATGGAACAAATAAGTTTGGATGACAGCACATCTGTCTGTAGCATGGCTTACTGAATATTTTGAGCCCATTATTGAGGCCTATTTCTCAGGAAAAGACAATTCTTTTCAAACTATATTGCTCACAGACAATATACCTACTCATCTAACAGCTGTGATGGAACTGTATAAAAAGGTTAATGTTGTTTTCATGCCTACTTACACAGCATCCTTTCAACAGCCCATGGATCAAGAAGTAATTTCAACTTTCAAGTCTTACTATTTAAGAACTACATTTTGTAAGTCTGTAGCTGCCATAGATAATTCCTCTGATGAATAAAGCAAACTGAAAACTTTCTAGAAATGTTTCACCATTCTATATGTATTAATATTCATGATTCGAGAGGGGAGGTAAAAAATATCATTAACAGAAGTCTGAAAGAAGTTAATTCCAACCCTCATGGATGACTTTGAGGTACTCAAGACTTTCATGGAGTAAAAACTGCAGATAGAGTAGAAATACCAAAAGAAACGAATTAGAAGTGAAGCCAGAAGTTAAAATGAATTGCCATATCTGATGATAAACCTCTAACAGATTGGGACTTGCTTCTTATGGATGAGCAAATAAAGTGTTTTCTTTAGATTAAAATCTACTTCCAGTGAAGAAGCTGTGAATATGGTTAAAATTACCATACGATTTAAACATGGGTATCCAACCTGTGCCTGCAGGCTACATGATGATTTTGAAAGGACTTTTTTTACTTATCTCTGATGTCCCAATATGACAAAAAGTATGCACAAAAAAATTTTTTTAACTAATCAGCTTTCCTTCGTGTTGTATATTTATAGTGTGGCCTAAGAGGACTCTTACTCTTCCACTCCTGATTTCGAACATTATATAAACTTAGTCAATAATGCAACAACAAGGTTGGAGAAGACTGATTCCAGTATTGAAAGTTCTATTGTAGGAAAAATAATGTCAAACATCATTGCAAGGCACAGAGAAATCTTTCATAAAAGGAAGCATCTGTGTATGTAGCAATCAAATGGGTTTTTGTTTTAAGAAATTGCCATTTGGCTCAGTGCCTGTAGCTCAGAGGCTAGGGCACTGGCCAAACATGCACTGGGGCAGGTGGGTTCTAACAGGGCCTGGACCTGCCAAACAACAACTGCAACAAAAAAATAGCCAGGTGTTGTGGTGGGCACCTGTAGTCCCCACTAGTTGGGAGGCTGAGGCAAGAGAATCATTTAAGCCCAAGAGTTTGAGGTTGCTGTGAGCTGTGATGCCACAGCACTCTACCAAGGGCGACATAGTAAGACTCTGTCTCAAAAAAAACAAAAAAAAAGAAAGAAAGAAAAAAGAAATTGCCACAGCCACCTCAACCTTCAGCAGCCACCAATGGGATTAGTCAGCAATTATCAAAATCAAGGCATGACCTTCCACCAGCAAAACATGACTTGCTGAAGGCTCAGGTGATCGATAGCATTTTTTAGCCATAAAGTAATTCTTACTTTAGGTCTATATACTGGGATTTTTAGACATAATGGTATTGAATCCTTGGCAGACTACAGTACAGTGTAAACATAACTCCTATATGCACTGGGAAACCAAATAACTGTGTGACTTGCTTAATTGCAATATTTGATTACTTGTTGTGGTCTGGAACCAAACTCACAAACCTCTGAGGCATGCCCATATTTGGACAGCTCATTTTAAAACTTGACAGAATTTGGTGGACTGGGAAATGTATAGCAATTAAATGGCTTTTTTAATTTTTCCCTTTTCCTTTTTTCTTTTCTTAAATATGGAACATTACACAAATTTACTGTCATCCTTGCATAGGGGTCATGCTAATCTTCTCTTGTATCATTCCAATTTTAGTATATGTGCCGCTAAAGCAACCATTCCTTTTTCTTCATCAAAAAACTTTTTACATATATTTTGTTGCTTAATGTGAAATTTTTAACAAATGTATATATTATTTATATGTCATGAATTGATCAGTAATAAGGTACTATGCATACACAAGGATAATTCAACTTCCCCACTTGAGAATTATGCAATTTAGAACAAATTACAAACCTCACTTTCCTCACATATCAAGAAAGATATAATACTCCAGAAGTATTATGCGAGAAGTATTAAATAGGATAAAGTATATAAATCACTTAAAACAGTATCTTACAAGCAGTAAGTATTAAATGATCATTTTTATTTATTTTTTTTTCAGGGGAAAACGCAAACACAGTCCCCCACTATCACAAATTATGCAGTCAAGGTTCCCACATTTGGGGAAATCACTGGGGTCAGCACATCCAGAGTGCAATGGTTAAGCCTCGCCCCAGGAAAACCACCTTCATGATTATGGTATCTCCCCTGCCAGGTAAGTATTTTTATTGTTATTCTTAATGTTCTTGATGCTATTACTATGTACTTTTTATTTAAATATAAAAACACAATAGAATCTCCATAACTGACTCTCTTTCTCCATTGACCACCTTCTTAAGTTGACCTAATTTTCATGTACCACAGGTATGTATCAGCACAGTAGGCCTAGCCCTTATGTAGACTACCCTCTATATGTTGAAGAGTAATTTATTACAGTTCTTTGGGTAGACAACTTACAGAGGTTTTACTATATCTTATTAATCTTAAAAATCTCATTTATAAAGATAATTTTGTTCATTATCTCTCCACCCTCATTTATTCATGTTTATTGAGCTACTTACAGGAGTGATAGAACAAAAATGATGGAGAACAAATATTAATAAAAAATCATCCCTGACTTCAAGAACTTACAGTGATGCAGAAGAGACAACTAAATGACTTGTATCCAATAAGGTCCGTATAGATGATCCTAAAAGGTACCTGTAAATATAGAGGTAAGATTACCCTAACCTGATTGACAGGCAATACCAGGTAGAGAAAGGGATCAGGGATACAGAGAAAACATCATCATCACCAAAAGTAAAAAGCCTTGACAGAATTTGGCGGACTGGGAAATGTGAAGCAATTAAATATGGCTTTTTAAATCAAAGCTATCTTTGAAGAAAAATAGTTTTGGAGAAAGATCTTTCCTCATCCTTCTATTACCCACTTTATTTTATTCAACAAATACTGTATTCATTTAATGCTTTATGAGCACTCAACTTGGTTCTATAGGAGAGCAGAGATTAATCTGGCTCAGATTCTGTCCTAAAGCAGGTTATCTTCTGGTAGAGGAAAACAAAAGAAGTTAAGAAATCATGAAAAGTGTCTTGCATCTCTAGAGAGATAAAATTAGGGTAGGGTGGCTATTTTCTAAGGTGAAATAACTATATAAAGAGAAATGGAGAAAAAGAGATCAAAGATTCATAGAAGAGTTCACATTTGACCTGTAGGCATTATTTTTTATAAGAAAAGGAATTAATCATCCACAAGGTAGGATTCAGGCAATACGCTAGGCACTTCACATCCTACTCAACCCTGGAAAAAAATACTTAGAAAGGCTTGTCTGAAGGCAATATATTTCATCCACATGAACCAATAATCTTCATTCTTTAAATCTATTAATCACCTTTCTCCTTCTCAGTAAGTCTGTATGTACCATCAAAATCCTTTTTAAGATAGGACTCTAATCAGCCATAGTCACTCAGCTGCACAAAAGAGAAAACCCCTCTGATATCCATATTTCAAAAAATCTAAAATAAATCCTTGAATTAAATCAGATCAGATGAAAGCTGTATATGTCAAACAAATCTTTTAAGTGGCAACTAAATTGCTTTCACTGAAATGCCAGTTAACACAACAATTGCAGCCTACGTTGAAAGATGTTACAAGATATACCACAATGAAATGTACTGCTTTAAATTCCAAAGGGATATTGTTAAAAATGCTATTCATCATATTTTCAGTGTCCGCTTTAGGAAGCTGAACAGGAAGAATTTCTCTCAGGTTTCAGAACCTGGTTTACTTTTATCTTATGACTAGCCACAGAAAATTCATAGTTAAATTTATTGTCTACCTTATAGAAAATTTATATGACCTCATATTAAGCATTTTATGTAATCATCAGCTGAATTTTCTTATACTGTATCCTCTGTGGTGGTTAAATTTATGTTGCCAACCTTACTGGGCCAAAATGTGCCCAATTAAACATTATTTCTGGGTGTATCTGCAAAAGTGCTTCTGAATGAGATTAGCATTTGAATCAGTTTAGTCTAAAGTAAATTGCCCTACCCCTTTTTAGATGGGCATGACCCAAACAAAAAGAAAGAAAGGAGGAATTCACCCATTTTTGTCAGCTGCCTGCCTACAGGAGGTGGAATATCAGTCTCCATCTGTTCTTGACCTAGGATTTACATTGTTGATTTACACGTACCAGGTTCTCGGGTTTTGGATTAGAACTGAAATTACATCTCTACCTTTCCTGGGTCTCTAGCTTGCAGATAACAGATCATGGGACTTCTCAGCCTCAGTAATCACATTAGCAAATTTCTCCAAATAAATCTCTCCATATATAATATATATGATGTGTGTGTGTGTGCACGCGCATGTATATATTCTTTGGCTCTATTTCCCTAGAGAACCTTGACTAATACAGACTTTGGCATTGACAAAGAATTTTTAAAAATGAGTTTTCTGAATTGGTTCTGGGGTTTCTGGGACTGTTTTTCTAATGCAATCAGATTTAAAGATGCTAATGACACTATTTCAAAGAGATCACCGTTACTCCATGGCATTAACTGTTTATAGAGATATGCAAAATACCTGAACTGGATGCTCCTAAATCACCACTTACAATAAGCAAGAAGTTATGTGACTCTGTCTAAAAAACTCTCAAACATTTTTAGAAAATTAACAAATATATAATGACATTGATTAATTGCTCCTAATATCACTGGCCAATGTAGTCAAAAAAAGAGATGAGCTCAGGGACTACAATTCCCAGTGTATGTACCCCACATATAACCTATGAGCTTCTACATGTGCCCTGAAGGACACCCTTATCTCATGTAGCCCCAGAACTTCATCCAGTCACTGCGTAAATTACAACACAGGTTGAACTCCCAGCATGGCAGGGTAAGGGCATTCATTGGGAAAAATGAGATCCCATAACTTGGGATGTAGATATAAGGGAACTCTGATGAAGCTGGGGATGTTGAAGCACTCAATTCTGATGAATCTCCTTCACCCTAATATATCCCCTTTCTAACATTTCCCCCATTTACTTGGTTTTTAAATATTATTATTTTATGTATATTTTGGTAAAGTAGCTTAAATACTTAAACTAGGAAATATACATATATGTATAATTAAAATAAAGACAGGTATCATTTCTCATTAAAAAGTAAGCAAACTGACTCATTTTTAAAGCCAATGTTTGAACTGAAGTTTAACTCCACTTGATCACTCTACTACACTGCAAGGCTTAGGCATTACTAGTACAGATGCAATTGTTACAACCAATGTTAGTAAAATATTCATTGTTCATTTGGTGATTATGTGGTATGACTGAACAATTTCAATGGAGCTTTTTTTGTTTTTTGGTAAGGGAAGGAAAAAGACTGATTAAAGATGTTCTGGGAAAAGAATCTGGATTATTTCAGGCTGTAGGTAAATCAAGACAACACTTAATCTTTAAAATGAGGATAAATCCCTTCTCTCACTGAGTGAGGATTATTGTAAAAAGCCTTCAGGTCTTTAACTGAGTTAATAAAAAATCAATGATATTTTCTAGATAGCAAGTATATTACTGACAAGAACTTGCACAAGATTTAAAGAAAATGGAAGAAATTGTTCCTAATTATGTGGAAATTATTAGGTCTGGCTGGAAGCACAATACTATGATAATATGTTATAGGCTGAATTGTGCCACCTGAAATTTCATATGTTGAAGTTCTAACCCTAGTACCTCAGAATGTGACGTTAGAGATAAGGCCTTTATAGAGTTAGATAAGGCCTATAGAGGTCTCTAAAGTCACGTTCTCAAAGAGCTAAAAGTAGACCTTCCATTTGATACTGCAATTCCATTACTAGGTATCTACCCAGAAGAACAAAAATCATTTTACCATCAACACATTCGCACCAGAATGTTTATTGCAGTTCAATTCATAATTGCCAAGTCATGGAGCAACCCAAATGCCCATCAACCCAAACTGTGGTACATGGATACCATGGAATACTATTCAACCATTAAAAACATGGAGACCTTACATCTTTTACATTTACTTGGATGAAATTCAAACACGTTTTTCTTAGTAAAGTATCTTAAGAATGGAAAAATATCCAATGTACTCAATACTAATATGAAACCAATATATAAACAATTATATGCTCATTTGGAAAATAAAACAACTACAGTCTAGTACAGAGCAAGAGGAGTAGGGAGGAGGAAGAGGGAGGGGGAGGACAATTGGCATAAGGAGGGAGTGCATGTGGTAGGATCTCACCTATTGTGCCCCTGGGTGAGGAGCTCTTTTACAACTGGAACTTTACCCTGGAAATGAGAACAATGTAATCTAAAAATTTGTACCCTCATAATAATTTGAAATCAATCAATAAATAATTTTTTAAAAGGTAGAAATTTGGAGACAGACACACACAGGGAGAACACCATGTGAAGATATTAGGGTGATAGTCTACAAGCCAAGAGACACCAAAGATTGTTAACAAACTGCTAGAGTCTAGGGAAGCAGCATGAAACAGATTCTTCCTCATGATCCTTGGAAGGAACCAGCTCTACAAACATCTGAATCTCAGGCTTCTAGCCTCCAGAACTGTGAGACAATACATTTCTGTTGCTTAAGCCATTCAGTTGTAGCATCTGGGGACAAACTAAGTACTACAGAACTATGAGAAAATAAATTTAGGCTTTTTAAGCAGCTTAGTTTTTACTTTGTTACATCAACCCTATCAAACTAATACAACCTGAAATAATCAAAGAGTGAAACCCTGCATAAGGATATTTTCAGTTGTTTGGTATAAACAACCAATGATTTTAGAGTTCAGAGAACTGTTACATAAAAAACACTGATACATCCGTTTACATACACACACACATACAAATATACTTTTATGCAAATTATTCAAAACCAAAGAAAATTAACAATTACATATAAAATTATATTTGCCTTTCTTATTAATATTCTCAAGATATTCTGAGTACCTACTATGCTCATTCAGAGTATGACACTCAGGAGATAAAGAGCTTAACAAGATCTAACCCCTATTAGATGAGAATACACAAGTTCTGAACTCCCCTTTCAGAACACCCACAGCATTTGTCAATTATGAAGAAATTTTACCTTCTGTCTTTTGTTTGTATTCTACTGAATCTGTTCTCTAATATGTTTTGTAAGGAAGTTTCCTCTCCCCAAAGACTAAGTTCTGTGAGCATAGCATACAGAAGC